TTATCAAAATAGGGTTGTTTTTGGTCGCACAAAATTTGCTCGAGCTACAGAGCCCCAATAGAAATCTCCAGCGTCTAGATTAAAGAATAATAGTGAGGAGCTCCACTAATTAAAAATTTCAACCCAATCAGAGAAGAAATTAATAACCACCCGATCGAGCACTTGATCAAAAAGTGACATACTCTAAAAGGCTGATTTCTCTCTCCTCCAAAGCTCTCTGTTTTCCCCAAAAATCTCATTTTCTTACTGCTGCAGACAACAGCAACACATACATATTAAAGCAGACTCCACTATAAAACTAAGCTCTAAAGGCTTCTGAAAACGACCGAAATGTCATTCTATCCACGTGGGTTCAAGTTCAACGACATAACTAGGAGTGAGCATTAATGGATTGAAACTAATCAAACCGATCGATCCAGCCAAATTTTGATATATGGTTCGTTTTGGTTTTAGAATATGTAACTATCAGTTCGGCTTGAGAAAATTTTAACTCGAACTAGCTGAACCGACCGCATTTTTAATTATCGAAAGCATATCATTTCTTTCTTTTTGTTAGTCCATCAATTTCCTTTTCTTTTTTCCTTAAACTGTATATAATTTGCATTGTTCTTTTGTTGACACTTCAATTAATACACAAATTTCTTGCACCAATTTCTTACCATGCGTTTTTTTTGGGATCAAAACACAATTTTTCTTAATTAAATGAGTCCAATCAAAATCTGAATAAACTGAACCGACCAAACTAATTTCAGTCGGTTCTGTTCAGTTTTGAATATAAAATGATTCAGCTCAGTTTTGTCAATTCCTCAAAATAGACTGAACCGACCTTTTGCTTACCCCCACGTGTAGCCGTATTAGGAGGGGAAACCGTCCCAACATTGTTTTAATTCATACTAGAAGGTCATATCACAATTTGATATAATGAGGCAGCAGATTAGAAAGTGTAGCTCCGATTTTAACCGAAATGTCGACGTAGATACAGATACGAGAGAAAGGCATGCAACTATAAATAATAACTTATACACATGTTATATTAGGTAAGCATCCGATCCATTGTTTGAGATTTTAAATTGAAGTGGTCCCTTCATCCTGATTAACTAGACAAACAGCCAACATGCGTGCATGTGGTCAAATTAGTTGTTCCTTTTTAGTTTAATTAGCATTGTGCTGTTAATTAATCAGTAGTCTCATAATTAATACAGCGTGCACGAATGCAGCTAGCTGATGTTCACGTCTCCGAGTCCAACTATCAACTTTCAAGTATTAATTAGTAATTTAGGATTTCAGATAACGCGGGATATAATTGTGACATGAGCTTTGAACCTTCATGATGCTTTCCAAACTGTAAGCCCCGGCCCCCACGTTCCTTTATTAGTGCAGTGCAGGATATCTGTCGATGCTGCCGCGTATAGTTCCTTCTTGCATGTGGCTCCTCACGTGACGGGTCACTTGGCGGGGTTGGCCAATGTCCCAACTGCGGGGTCCACGACTCCACTTGATTGATTGCAAGGCTCGATCGAGACTAATCTATAAAGACTAATTTCTTGTCCTCAAACTCCTGTCTAAATCTTCGAACATGCATGCCATCAAATCTTTATTATATATCCATTTATCGTATTTTTTTTTTAAGTCTCCTGTGGCAAAAGCTAGGAGAGACTTTTCCTTTAACTGAGACTCGGTGTTACAAGAGAAGGTCGATCAAAATTAACTATATATGTTTTATTTTAAGTAAGGCCAAATATCAAGAGAAACCCCTTAACTTTGAATGATTATCGGATAACCCTCCGAAAACTTTGAAAATATCCCCCCCCCCAAAAAAACCCTTTTAATTAATAGTTGAGGATTATAAGAAAACCTCCTTTAATTTAAGATTTTATATATTAGAAAACTTGTTTAATTATGAACCCTTAATTTTGAACTTTTTAATTCCTTTGGTTGGCTTTTGAACATTGAATGATGAATCTAATTGTGTTTTTTTTTTTTTTTGGAGCCGGTACGTGAGAGTAAGATTTTCCTAGTCGAACCAAATAATCCCCAAATTAGTCAAGCAGCCCAACACGCATTTTCAAAGTTGTGAAGGCGAAGAAACTGAGGTTAACATTCCTAATCACAGTAACATTTAAGTTTGGGATTAGAGATAATCAGATAAGGCAGGGAGATTTTGTAGCGTGAGCGTGCGGCTTACGCACGGTTCCCTTCCCAGCAATTTAAAGCCCCATGTTCCTCCGATCGAGGAACCTCCTCCACTTAATTAGTGCCCAGATTTTTTGGTTGACCAATGGCTTAGATGCTGCCACGTGGTTCGTTGCATGTGCCTTCTCATGTTAGCTTCACCTGGGGTGTGCCTTACCTACCATTCCGCGGCACGCTTGCTTACCAAAAATCGTTGTAAGCTGGGACGGTAGTTATAAATCGTTGTTATGAATGAGGATACAGTCATGTTTTTATAAATCGTTGTTAATTATATTTGATAATAGTTATACCTAATGATATGTTATTGTCCTTGTGCTCCACCTGCATTGCTCGTCTCAAATCATATCGATGCACCTCTCCTACTCTACACTACGAGCTGGATGCCTTTATCTCCTCCATCACTTGGTTTGGACTGAATATGAGCGCTCACCATCTTCAAGTCCAACGCCACCATCTTCATCTCCATGTGTGTCACTCGGTCATGCCCACTTGCAAGCTCCACCTAATCTGGCACTGTCCTCCTCAAGTATACACACCAACCAACTCCTGCTCCTTATCTACTATCAGATTTGTCTTGCCGTTACATAGCGGAATATCAAACTTTGGACCCGAAGAAGTTATCATTCTCTAATCAAAATTCAAATCAGTCACCGTAGAGTTTGAATTTGATGAAACCGATGCCAAAAACGAACTCAACACGTCGAAAAACCCTAGGAACGACTCCTGGATCACCAAAATCCGCCTCCAAATTCTCAATCGGCTAACAAATCAATCTAGACCGTCGGATCCCTACGTGAACAGAGCCCGCCGCGCTACAGTGTTCTGCTACAGTAATTTTTCCTTTTTCTTTTCATCTTGATTCTTGTAACACCGATTTTCAATCTTTTACGACGTCGTCTTCTATCTTACAAACTCGCTCCCGGATCCATCATCTTCGCTCTGATACCACTTGTTGGGGAATTTGTGGACGCGTTTGTCTTCAACTCGTGGGGGCCACCACGAATCAAATTGCGGCTTGCGGCTTCGTGCGCGTGAAGAGATTAGGGAATCTCAAAGGCCCACCCGATTTTCCCTCTTGACTATAAATAACAAATTGATTTGTTAGCCTAGGGTTTGTAGCAAGGTAGGGTGCAAGCAATTGACGGGGTGCAGGTGGATTCTTTTTCGGCGGCGGCTTTGTTTCTTGGAGAAAACGCAGCAAGGAGAAAAGAAGAAAATTGACAGCGGCAGTGAGCAAGGGGACTTTGTGCGGCTGCAGGAGAAAAACCACAGGCACGTGTTTTCTTGGCGGCTGTCTTTTGTTTTTGAGAGAGATAATTGTATGAGGGGTTTAAGAGATTGTGTGAGGGTTTAGAATGAGTGATTGTAAACCCTAGTTGTATCTCTCCCTCTAATAGTAGATCTCCCCCTTCCTTGCCCCGTGGACGTAGGCAGTTTGCCGAACCACGTAAAATTGGTTGTTTGAGTTTGTGGCCATTGTAATAGTTTTTAGGATCCCTCGACGCGCAGTCCTAGAGCTGACGAGAGGAAGAGCAAATATCCCACTTTGATGGGATATTAGGCTTCAGATTCTTGTTCCCTTTGAGAAACAAGAATTCTTATCGATCTTTCTCTCTTATTGTGCACCAGAAACTCTGCCGAGATTTCCGCTGCGCACAACAGAATTTCAGTCTCCCCGCCTACCACGATATGCGCAACTCGGAAGCCAACCCCAATCAATAAGATAGAACAACCACAATCAAGAAAAAAGAACACCGAGATTTACGTGGTCTAGTCGACCAACTTCGACCTACGTCCACGGGACAACAATACGAGAAATTCACTATGTATTAGGGAGAACTACAAGAGGAACCACTCAACTCTCGTCTCTCAATCTCTCAACCTCACATACATAATCAACTCTCATATTCTCTCCAAAGCCCACTCCTTGTAATCTTTTGCACGGATAAAGACTACGAAACCCTCTCTCTCTCTCTCTCATCTACTATATATCTCTACTTTTTCTTCATGGTTTTTCCTCCACCAATAGAAGAATATATATAGGAAAACCAAAACCCTATCTCTAGCCTAACTTCCTAATTAGAATATGATTCAAACTCCTAATCATGATAGAACTCAAACTCATAATCATGATAGAATCCAAACTCCTAATCATGATAGAACTCTAACCCTATCTAATTCCCATGAAGTTATATAAAGAATCAAAGACAAAATCCCAACATAGATAGCCAAGTAAACCTCAAGTAATGTAAACCGCCATTAACCCCGACAGTACCAAAGCATTCATGGAGTTACATCATAAAGGAAACCCACCTGACCACCACTCTGGTAGTAAATTCCACGTTTGCTAATAGAGAATACTAACATGTTAATTTTAAACAACTCATATTTAGTATACAAATGTTAAGAAAAACAAGTGAGGTATAGAAGTGCAGAGTAAGTGAAACTATTAGGTATTTAAGTGCAAAACGAGTGAAATTAAGTTCTATTTAGTTGCAAAAAAGACAGTTGAACAAAGATACTTAGGTTAAATGGCATTGAATCTTCAATATATATCTAAGCATCAATTTTCTTGTGAGATGTCAAATTTAAGGAGGTGTAAACTTTGGGGTATGAAAGCCTAAAATAAACTTTACGGTATCAATTTTTTTTTTTAAAAAAAATGTTAACTTGGTACAAACGTGCAAATAACCTTACATTTCAAGGAGAACCCTGAAAAATTGAAGACACGAAGATCATATTCCTACATCAATTTTCTAAAAATAATAGCTAGTTTTAGCATATATGAAGGCAGCAACTACCAAACAGCTCCAGCCTTTATTAACCCCATGCCTCCTCTTCTTCAGCTCTTCTCCAATTTCACGCTTCAAACAACAAAAACTGGAGGAAAAAAAAAAAAAAATCCTCCATTAACAATGGCCTCAACTGAATCTCTCTCTCTCTAGACTCAAACCATGAACTCCCTCTCTCTCCTCCTCCTCCTCCTCCTCCTCCTCCTCCCTCTCCTTTCTCTCTCTAAACCCCCTCCCCCATTAAACCCTGACCTCCTCGGCCTCATTGTCTTCAAGTCCTCTCTTTTAGACCCAACCTCATCTCTCTCCTCATGGACCCAAGACTCCGACGACCCCTGCAACTGGGCCCACATCAAATGCCACCCCGAGTCTCGCCGAGTCGTCGAAATCTCTCTCTCCTCCCTCGGCCTCTCCGGCAAGCTCAGCCGCAGCCTCCTCAACCTCCAATCTCTTCAAAAACTCTCCCTTTCCAACAACAACTTCACTGGATTCTTGATTCCAGACTTAACCCAGCTCCCAAACCTCACCCACATTGATCTGAGCTCCAATGGGCTCATTGGAGAGATACCCACTAAGTTTTTCTCACAATGTGAGAGCTTGGTCGATGTCAATTTGGCTGGTAACAAGTTGTACGGTCAGGTACCAAGCAGCATTGGCTCTTGCTGGAATCTTGTAAGTTTCAATGTTTCGTCGAATCATCTCTCTGGGTCTCTGCCTGATGGGGTTTTGAGTTTGAGCAGTCTCGAAAGTTTCGACGTTTCGAAGAATTTCATTGTGGGTGAGATACCTGATGGAATTGGGAAGATGACCAGTTTGAGGAGTGTTGATTTTAGTGGGAATTTGATGAGTGGGGGGATTCCTGATTCAATGTGGAAGCTTTGGATGTTGAGTTACTTGAATTTGGGGTCGAATTCGTTTTCTGGGAGAGTTCCTGATTGGATTGGGGAGATGAAGTGGTTGAGGGTTTTGGATTTCTCTGAGAATGGGTTTGATGGGTCGATCCCCGATTCGATTGGGGACCTGAAATTCTTGCAAAGTTTGAATTTTTCTGGAAATGGGCTTGTGGGTAATTTGCCGGAGTCAATGAGGGATTGTAGCAGTTTGCTAGAAGCTGATTTTAGCAGGAATCATTTGATGGGTGAACTCCCTTCATGGCTTTTTGAGCTGGGTTTGCAAAAAATTTTCATTTCAGGAAATAAATTTAGTGGCAAAGTTCAGTTTTCAAATTCTCTGGGTCAGTCTCTGTTGGAACTGGATTTGTCCGGGAATGAGTTTTCTGGTGAGATCCCAATGGAGATTGGGGGACTGTGGAAACTGGAGCTGTTGAATTTGTCGGCGAATTTGTTTTCGGGTGGGATTCCATCGAGTTTGGGGGAATTGAAGTCATTGGAAGTGGTTGATCTCAGTGTCAATAGATTGAATGGGAGCATTCCGTTAGAGATCGCAGGAGCTGCTTCATTGCAGGAGTTGAGGCTGCAGAAGAATTTTCTCAATGGAGGAATCCCAAGTCAGATTGGGAACTGTTCTTCTCTCACTTCTTTGTAAGTCCACTTTCACCTTTAATGCTTTTAACATTTACAAATATCTTTGTGTGCATCATAAACTGGTTCTAAATGTTTTCTCAAAAAATATTTTTTTACTTTGTGTTTGAAACTAAATCGTCTGCTTGCTTTGGGAGTAATGTTTTTAACTTGGTGTTGGATGACACTTTGGATTCTGATGTAGCTTCGCAGTAGTGATCTCTTGTTTTTGTACTGGTAAATGAGCAGCATAAAATACAATACAACAATACATATCATAAACATAACAGAGTACATTGATGCGTGATACAAGAGGTACGCGTCGTTACGTTGTAGATAATATTTCAATAAGCATATTGATCTCAAGATTTGTCAAAAACCTTTTGGGTCTTATTTTACTTGTGTATTTGATCATTTTTAACATTTTACTGTTAAAGCTTGGGATTCAAATAGAATTCTACTCTGCAGAAGGCTAAACTTATAGTTTCTAGTTGGAATCTGGTGCATTTAAAAGAAGAAATGGCATATATTTCTGAACTTTGGAGTTTACTTTGAACATATTTGCGTAAATTTTAACACGGTCTGTCTCTTATCTTGAACAGGATACTGTCACAGAACAAGCTCACAGGCTCAATACCCACATCCTTAGCAAACCTCACTAACCTTGAAACTGTAGACCTCTCCTTCAACAGCCTTCAAGGCTCTCTCCCAAAGAACCTCTCCAATCTCCCCCATCTTCTCTCCTTCAACATCTCCCACAATAACTTCTCTGGTCCCATTCCCCCGAGCAATTTCTTCAATACAATCCCCCCATCATCTCTCTCAGGCAATCCCGGCCTCTGTGGTTCTGCTGTCAACATCTCATGCCCTGGTGTCCTCCCGAAACCTATCGTCCTCAATCCTAATTCTTCCTCACAAAACCCGAACACTAACTCCGGTATCACTTCTGCCAACATCCGACACAAAAAGATCATTTTGAGCATATCTGCGATTGTTGCCATTGGCGCTGCTGCCCTCATTGTCCTCGGTATCATCACCATCACCATCCTAAACCTTCACGCACGATCCCATTCAAGTTCCCCCTCTGCTGCGGGCTTGGCACCCCCCAGTGACTACAGTGGCTCACCTGCCAACACAGACGCGAACTCTGGCAAGCTCGTTATGTTCTCTGGTGACAAGCCTGAGTTTGCCTCTGGCGCTCATACTATACTCAACAAGGAGTCTGAGCTCGGTCGTGGAGGCTTTGGCACGGTCTACAAGACTGTTCTGCCTGATGGCCGACCTGTGGCCATCAAGAAGCTCACTGTCTCAAGTCTAGTGAAATCCCAAGCAGAGTTTGAGAGAGAGATCAAGAAAATCGGCAAAATGAGGCACCCAAATCTCGTATCCCTCCAAGGCTATTACTGGACTCCGTCGCTGCAGCTCCTCATCTACGAGTTCGTCTCTGGTGAGAGCTTGCACAAAGTTCTCCATGAGAACTCAGCGGCACAATCTCTCACTTGGAATGAGCGGTTCGATATAATTGTTGCCACTGCAAAGAGCCTCGCTCATCTACACCGCCACAACATTATTCACTACAATTTGAAATCAAGCAATGTTCTAATCGATGGCTCTGGTGAGCCAAAGGTCGGAGATTATGGTCTCGCGAGGCTGTTGCCAATGCTGGACCGTTACGTTTTGAGCAACAAGATACAGAGTGCATTAGGTTACATGGCGCCTGAATTTGCCTGTGGAACTGTGAAGATAACAGATAAATGTGATGTATATGGATTCGGTGTCTTATTATTAGAGGTTGTAACGGGGAGAAGGCCCGTGGAGTACACAGAGGACGATGTGGTAGTTCTGTGTGATACAGTGAGGGGTTTGGTCGAGGGAGGGAGAGCGGAGGATTGTGTCGATGGGAGGATTGGGGGGAAGTTTCCGGTGGACGAGGTGGTGCCAGTGGTGAAACTAGGGTTGATTTGTACATCGCAGGTGCCATCGAATCGACCGGAGATGGGTGAGGTTGTCAAGATTCTAGAGATGATCAGATGTCCTGGTCAGGATGAACTGAGTTCAGGTTAATTGTGTTTACCCCTTTTGTTCCTTGTATGTTCAAATGTTACTTGGGTAAGTTGCTCATAGACCCCTGTAGTATCTCGGTTTTCAACTTACCACCCCAGTAGTTTCATAGTTGAAGATTAGACCCTCTAGGTTAATATTTTCTCACACTTTTAGCCTTGGTGAAAATTTAGAACATATTAAAGTTAACCCGAGGGTCTATCTGCAACAATGAAACTATGGGAGTTGTACGAAACAACGATACTACAGGGGTCCATATGCAATTAACCCGAAAGAGTTGATGAGTGAATGTAGGAGATAGGAGAATTTGCTTGCTAAGGAGGAAAAGATGCATGTAACATATTAGCAGAATGAATTTATGAGATGTGTCACTGCATTTGAGAACCTGAGCAGAAGGGATATGAGTAACTATTCTCTTACCAAATGCTCCTTGATTTATTGGTCCAGCATTTTTTTTGTTGTTGCATGTTTTCGGTGTACTTGTGATTCTTTGTGAATATTTATTGAGTCACATGGGGCAGTGGGTGAAATATGTCCTTATCTTATTTGTCATTGATATCCAAGGCAACACAAGAGACTTATATGTAATACTGGTATAAAATAGACTTTGAAGGTGTACTGTTTTAGCCAATTATTAAAAATTGAGTAAGTCATCAGACCAAGCTTTTATTGCTGTGAGCAAAACTGCAAAAGGCATGTGATGATATTAGATAAGCACCCAAGGCAATTGTGAACACCGTACATGGTGAGAAGAAGGTTAAATAGCACTTATATACACTATTGTTTCACCTCCTTTTCACTTGTATACCCGCATTTGTATTTTCTTCTAAGCCTAAATATCTTTTCCATACCCTATCGTTTCACCTATTTTTTCAATGGTTTGACCAGACTACCCCTCCTTAAAATAACCCCCTCCGATTGTATTTGGTAGGTTTTCTTGTAAATCGACGGAGTTTTAGGGGTACAAGACACTCAAATGATCATTAGAATATTTCTAAAATATTCTCATGGTTTGCAGATGGAAGGTTACGGGTATGGAGATAAGAACAATATGGGTAAACCAGTTCTAGAGTTTGCAATATCGTATGATTTCATAATAGTAAATACACTTTTTAGAAAAAGTGATGAACACTTAACAACCTTTAAAAGTGATTTTAATAATAATCAAATAGACTTTTTTTTACTAGAATGATGGATATGTTAATATGCAAGGATTGTAAAGATATACTAGGAGAGAGTTTAAGTACACAACATAGATTAATGATCTTAGACATATCTACTAAAAAGTTGAGTAAAAATACTAACGTAAACAAAAGACTAAGAACTAAATGGTGAAATTTAAAAGGAAAGAATTTAATATATTTTAAAGATAAGATAATGGAAGAAAATATATAGAACATAGATAATGAGACTAATATTATGTGGAATAACATGTCTTCTTGTATTAGAAAAGTGGCTAAAGATATACTAGGAAAATCTAAATGTTGTAGATTAGACGGTAAAGATAGTTGGTGGCAGAATGAGAGTGTGCAAAATGTTATTAGAGAAAAGAAAACTTTATATAAAGAGTGACAAAAGTGTAGGAGTAGGAAAAACTTAGAAAAATATAAACTAGTAAGGAAGGAAGCAAAAAAGAGAGGTTAGTGAGAATAAATATAAGGCTTATGAAATTTTTTATAAGAAGTTAGAATCTAAGAAGGGAGAGAAAGATAAATATAAGCTTGCTAAGATTAGAGAAATGAAGAGTAGAGATTTAGGTAATATTAGGTGTATTAAAAGTGAGGATCGAAGAGTTCTAGTGACCGACGGGGAAATAAAAGAGAGATGGAGATGCTACTTTTATTAATTGTTTAATCTATATCTATCTATACTACTTATAAAAGAGAATACCCATGTTAAAACTTTTGATTTCCTTTTTTACCCTCTTAATTTTTTAATAACTCATAATTATACCACTATTTATAAGAATGTCGAAAAGAATTTTTTAATAACTCATAATTTTTTAATAACTCATAATTTTTTAATAACTCATAATTTTTTACTATTTATCGAGACGAAAAGAATGCTGAATGAGTGGAGAATTAGTATTTTAATATTGATATATAAGAATAAAGGGGATATATAAAGTTGTTCAAATTATCGAGGTATAAAACTCATGAGTCATACTATGAAACTTTAGGAGAGAGTAATTGAGCAAAGACTAAGAAAAGAGCCATGTATATCTGAAAATCAATTTGATTTTATGCCTGTGAGATCAACTATGAAACCTATACATATTTTGAGACGGTTGATGGAGAGATATAGAGAGAAGAGAAATGATCTACATATAATTTTTATCGATCTAGAAAAAGCTTATGAGAGAGTACCTAGAGAGGTAATGTGGTGGGTGTTAGAAAAAAAACATATATCTAGTATATATATTGATGTGATTAAAGATATGTATAATAAAGAAACAACTTGAGTAAGAACTAATGAAGGACAGACTAAACCATTTCCTATTACCATAGGTTTACACTAAGAATCTGCTTTAAGTCCTTATCTTTTTATATTAGTTATGGATTAACTTACTAAGCACATTCAGGATAAAATCCCATGGTGTATGTTACTTACTGATGATATAATATTAGTTGATGAAACTAGAAGATACATTATTTTTAAATTAGAAAGATGGAGACAAGCTCTTGAATCTAAAGGTTTTAGAATTAGTAGAACAAAAACAGAATATATGAAATGTACTTTTAGTAAAAGTAGGAAAGAAAGAGAGCCTATGGTACATATTGATGGTCAAGAAATACCTAAAACTAATCATTTTTGTTATTTAGGATCTATCATTTGACATGATGGTGAGATAGAGGATGATGTTGTGAATCGAATCAAATCGGGATGATTAAAATGGAGGAGTGCTTCGAGAGTCTTATGTGATTGTATAATACCAATGAAACTAAAAAGAAACTTTTATAGGACGGTTAGAAGACCAATTATGCTTTATATGTCAAATGTTAGGCAATTAAAAAACAACATGTTCAAAAATGAGTGTAGAAGAAATGAGAATGTTGCGATGGTCTTGTGTGTATACATTGAAAGATAGGATATGAAATGTGTACACCTGTAGTAAATTAGAGGTTTCACCTATTGAGGATAAAATGAGAGATAATAGATTAAGATGATTTGGTTATATACAAAGGAGACCCCTTAGTGCACTGATGAGGAAAAGTAATAATAATAGAGTTAATGGGGCTAGAAGATCTCGAGGTCGACCTAGAATGACTTGGCTAGAAGTAATTAAGAAGGATATGATTAAGACTAACTTAACGGAGAAAATGATCCGTAACAAAATATAATGAAAAAATAGAATTCATTTAGCCGACCCTAAATATTTGAGATAAAGGCTTGGTTGTTGCTGCTGTTGTTGTTGTTGCTGTAGATGGAAGGTATTAACTTATAACTTTGGTAAATTTTAGGGTATTTTCTTGATATCGAGTACAAGTGGGGGGGTACATACGTGAAAAGTAGGTGAAAGTTGAAACTACAGGGTGTATAAGAGCTATTCAGCCATAGAAGAAAATTGTCAAAGACCCTAGTGATTTCTAGGGAGTGCCATAACATTTGCATTACAAAACCAGCACTGCTTCAAATTTAACATAATCTGACACAATTGTGCAGGCTTAGTGGTTGGTTCAGACAGAGTGTGGAGCTTATTTGAAGAGTTGAAGTTCCTATTGACTTGGGTTGTTTTTGAGTTGGAAGATAGTACCTCCATATAATTAACTAGTGGCTTTCATTAAGTTGTAATCTCAGTGAAGATTAAAATAACATGAAGAAGTGAGTGAATCACCCCTATCCCCTCATTGGTAAAAGGTTTTACGTTGAGATCGATAAATGTACAATTTGGACTGACATTGTCTTTGATAGTATAAAATAAGAAACTGATTTAAGGACCCAAAATATGGGACCAAGGAAGGGGACAGGTGATGTGTCCCCTCCCTATTGCATAATGAGTTGGCATGGCCAACTCATTATGCAATAGGGAGGAGACACATCACCTGTCCCCTCCCTTGGTCCCATATTTTGGGTCCTCGTAGCAGCACTCTATAAAATATTAGGATTCAGAAGCATTAATGGTTGAGGACCCAGATCTGGAAATAAATTATTCAAGTGAATAATAAAGAATGGTTAAGGTAAATGTTCTCAAGCATTAACTGCAGTGAGCAACCAGAGGAGATGACAGCATGGATAGAGAATCATGCAGTATTTTATTAGAGCAGTGATATCTGTATATAAGAGTTGTATTAGTTTTATACTCCTGCACATAAAAAAGTGAGAGTTTTTTTTGTAAATTACAAAAGAAAATTATAAGTTGCAATGAAAGCAGTACAACTTATAGTGTCTAGGAGAATTAAAGGTATTACAACTCTTATAGTACATTTATCATTTTCTATTTTATTATCAAAAGAGTAAAATTTCTCTTGTTAATTTTCAAGGAACTAGAAATAAGTTCAATTACAATGGTTTGTTTCAATTGGAGACAGGGTTATCAGAGATCTGCATTGGTGGCATGATGGAGAACTGTGACTAGCAGCAGTACCATGATCACTTTGCTCAAGGCTCCCTAGATTTTTAGCACAATTCAACATAAACAAGTGCACTGTAAATATTATTATTATTTGATATTAAAATATACAGGCATGTGTAATGCTATAAATCATGACTATGATCTATGCATCTCTAATTTTTAAAAATTATCAGGACCAAAATACTATAACATATGTAATACAATTAGCATTTCTTTTCAAATTTAATTAATCAATTTTCAGTACTCATATTCATGCAGGGATATCACCGCTCCCGTTTTCTGTTTAGTAGGTTCAGATTCAAAATCTAAGACAGAGATTCTGAAGGACTAAAGTCTATGTAATAGACCAACTAATTTAAACACATTCAATCTTTCAATCTAAGTGTATTTCATCTCAGTGTGTAACTTCTTATGATGCCAGCTCTTGCAAGATAAGTTTTGAAGTCACAAAGCTTGTGTTCCAGTAAAAGAGAATTAGAATATAATTGCACTGCTCTTGTTCATTAAAAAGGAATGACAAAAGCAATATTTGGAATCTCTTCTCTGTTTTATTTGTGAATTTAAGATGCTCATCCCTTATTAATTGAGCTTCGGAGTTTGAACAGGAAAGACAATACAAGGTCAGTTCTTAAAAGAAGAGCATAGAACAGCAGCCTATGATATCTCGGTCTACTAGCTAAACTTTCTTAAGGCGTTGGTTGAGATTAAGTTGGAGTACGGTACAGTTTCAAAACTACATGTTTTTTTTCCCCTCTTTCTCTGACATGCATTGCACGTAAATGACAAAGAGGTAAGTTCGCTACACATATATTAGTGCATAGTTCCAAAAAATTTAGTCAGTCTATGTATTTTATATTGAAACCGC